GTAAAGACCAGCAGTAGCAAGTGCCCGTGTTGAGTAAAATTGATCCCAAAGCAAGAAGGAGACAAGCCAGCCAAGATGTGAGCATGAGCAAGCAGAAGGAGATGGGCTTCCCAGGAGAGGCTGCAAGTCCACCCAGACACGACTCCTTTTGCAACACTAGTTGAGAATTTTTCCCAGGGAGGAGCCGTGCAGCAATGCCATCCCTTCCGTATATCCTATATAAGGCATTTTCTAATTCAACAAAGGCTTAGTGAGTGCCTGGAGGGAGCCTCGTACCATCAATGGTTTTGCGAAAAAAGAGACAACAGCCCAAAATGGAGTCACTTGCGCTAAGCCCACAATCACCAAACTAAGACTTAGTTATCTAACTTAATTACAGTTTTAACCTTCTCCAGCAGTGGAATCTTAAACCAGTCAGTCTGGAATTACCTCATCAGCACTAGTGAGGTAATCTGCCTGAGAGACCCCTGCCATCCCACAAAGGAAGGTGACCTTGTCACACACCATCCACTCTTTACTAGTAACTTCCTTGTCCCACCTTTTTCTGCCTATAAGGTTTTTCATTTTGCACAGCTCTTTGGAGCTCCTTTCTATTGGACGGGATGCTGCCCGACTCATGAATCATTGCACAAAGTCAGTAAGATTTTAAAAATTTACTCAATTGAATTTTGTTTTTTAACAGTTTTTACTAGTTAGATTTGTCATCTTCAATAAATGCTTTATTCATCTTCACAAATCCTGACTAAAAGACCCTGCTATGCAGTCTGTCACATAAATATGTAGAATGGTGAATATGAGTCAAGGTGAGAGTCTTAAAATCACAGAAACACCGACCTCCGTACGGCATTTCTTTCTTTCTCTTTCTTTTTGTTCTCCTCCCTCTCGTCCGTCTCTTTCCTTTTGTTTTATGGAGTGTTCCTCATGCTCGCAACACATTTTCTGCTGAAGGCCGTAGCATTCAAATCACAATGCTACCATTATTTTTTAAAAAACGTATTTTTTAAGCATTTGCTTTTGAGTCAAGAGTTCAAAATGATGTTTCCTTTCCTCTAAAGGTTTAGGTTTCCCTAAGTCTAGAGAAAACATCTCTAGAATGTGTTGTGGCATGAACACTTCTCACAAATGCAGAAGTTAGACAAATATAAATAGAAAACTACCTCCTAATACAAATCAATCATCTTTATTATCCGGCAAAACTCGAGAAAAGAACAAGCATTTACCACTTTCGCAAGGACAGGTGACAAAACTAGACCACCGCAAGCCTTTCAGGGGCAGAGATTTAAAGAGCAGCTGCCTAGGACTTAGCTAATGTGTACTTGTTAAGCTCATTATTCTGTTTCTCAGTCTTTTGACTACAGAGAGCGAGAGTACACCAGGGACACCCTAAGAACACACTTCCTGAGCACGTTCTGTGAGTAGTATGGAGACATTTGGCAGATTATATGGCACTTCTTTTCCAAACATTAAAGTAAAAAGCCGGACATCAGGATCGACATGTGGGTCTTTCAGAGGGTATCTTGCTTCTATAGTGATAGAATGGATGACAGAAATGAAGACAATAAAACCCAGCCAAGTGCAGTTTTAAGGGTGACAGGCAATCGAAGTCCAAGGTAAGTCTTAATGGAGAATGGATTTGTTTTCACACCGTGATTTTTTTTGTCAGTTCTAGTACATGTGCTGCTTATTAATGAATCCCAATCTATTCAACTATAAATATATAAAACTTTTTCCCCCTTTACCTTCTGAATGAAAGCCTGCTGACTTTAATTCATATTGATCTCAGCTTCACAGTTAAAATGTAAAAAATGGGATGAAAAACTTCTAAAGACGTATTTTTATTCCTCAGTGCTTCCTGCGGTTCACTTGATGACATAACACCCGCCACTGCCAGACGGCCCCTCTGTCTCTGGAAGATCAATGATGATCGTTGCCTGACTATGTCTCCCCTTTGTAAAGAAGAGGTGATGCCACTTCAAGGAGCACAAGCGAGAGTGAGACGCAGAATAACCACACTTTGACACGCATTTAGTGAAAAAAAAGGTAAATGTGCATGAAGGGCTGCTGAGGTTCAGTGTTTCTGTTTTTCTTTCTTTCTTGTTTCAGCAGGTGGATTCTGCCCTGATTCCATTGGGGCGTAATCTGGGAAGGTTGCACCCCAATAAAAAACATGGTCAAAAGGCTCTTGTCGTCTGCTTATCTTGGCTGCCTCAACAGAACAAGAGAATAAAATATACCACTAACAACTTTATATCAAATCCTATTTATCTATATGTTATCTACCTATGATCTATCTATCTATCAATCTAGATATTTATCTCTCTCTATATATGATATAACCATAAAACAACAAATATATAAAATGGTAAAAAGTATTGCTCTAAAAAGCGTATAATCAAAAATAAACCCATGGTATGGGGCCGGCTTGGTGGTGTAGTGGTTAAATTCACACGCTCCGCTTTGGTGGCCCAGGGTTTGTTGGTTCAGATCCTGGGTGTGGATTTACACACCACTCATCAAGCCACGCTGTGGCTGCATCCCATATACAAAACAGAGGAAGACTGGCACAGACGTTAGCTCAGGGACGATCTTCCTCAAGCAAAAAGAGGAGGATTGGCAAAAGATGTTAGCTCAGGGCTGATCTTCCTCACCAAAAAATTAATAAATAAATAAAAAATAAGCCACTGTATAGTGACATGTAATTTACATCGATGACATTCTATATTTATTTGACTTGAGTAATTACCCTAGTTAATGCATATTTTTATTCCACAAAAACAACAACAAGCAATCAAAGAAGAATGTGATAATGAGACAATGTAAGCAAATTTTTCATTATCATTGATAAGGCATTTCAAGCCCTTAATTCTGCTGGAAATTAATCTTAGTGAGATATATCCTAGAGTATTCTAGTCAGTTATTGATTCTATTCTGTTATGTAAATCAACATTGTCCTCCAATAAGTCTCTGCAATATTTGAAGAAATTTCAATGTATTGTTTTTTTTCCTTTTTTTCTGTTTTTGGTGAGGAAGATTGGCTCTGAGCTAACATCTGTTGCCAATCTTCCTTTTTTTGCTTGAGGAATATTGTTGCTGAGCTAACATCTGTGCCAATCTTCCTCCATTTTTTGTTTGTGGGACACTGTCTCAGTATGGCTTGATGAGCAATGTGTAGGTCCATGCCCAGGATCCGAACCTGAGAACCCTGGGCCGCCAAAATGGAGCACATGAACTTAACCACTATGCCACCACACTGGCCCCCATTCTGGTATTTTTTGCTAGATGCATATGAAATTATTTCTGAAGATGTGTATCTGTCTAAATCTCAGCCCTCCCTTCAAAGAAAATTTCCCAAAACTACCAAGAAAACAACAGTCTTTTATTTGGTGGAATTACAGACCAAACCCTTGTAAAAACCCAAAGTTACCATTATGTCGCTTCCAAACTACTTCCAACTTATTTATATTAACATCTCACTTTCTTTTTGCTTCGAAATTTGATCATTTTTATTTTCTCATTCAAATATTTCATAGGTTTAGTATTCTTCTAGCAAATACCAATATTTACATATATATGTTTATGTTTAAATAAAAATAGCCTTATATCAAAAGCATATGCTCTAACTATTTATAGTGACAGGAACAAGCAAGATTAGTTTTACAAGGTCATGACTCCACCAATTTTACTGTGTGGCTACCAGCATTTATGGAGGGAAGCAAAGAATGAGAAGTATGTCTCTCCTCTTTCTGATTTGTGAAATCGTCAAACTACTCCCACTTCCACTTCTTCATCCTCTAATTTTCATCTGAGCAAAGATTTTCTCATCCAAATAAATAATACAAAAAGATAATAACTGCCTGTTACATACAGGTAGTCAAGTTGGCCATCGAGGGTCCATTTAAAATATAAAATGCAATTACCTTCAATAAGTGACTGAAATTGTTCTGACTGCTCGTCCTTGCAGAATGTATCTTTAGTCATTAACTCCCACTGATCAAATTCCATTAGTGGACGTTTGAAACCATGGCAAGGAAATATTGCTTTAAAAATACGCTATTTCAGTTTGCTTGTAACAGAAAATTTTGTCACTGTAGTTGAAACATTTAGGGATGTTAATATGAGTAAAAGCCAAAGTATGAAAGGAAAAAATATCCTGAGTCTTAACTATGCTGAAGGTCACAATGGTCACTGGTTAACAATGAGTGCATATTACGTTCAAACCTATGGTGCTCAAAAATTGTTTGTTGGATGAGTGTTTTCAGCTGTGTTTTGTTAGCCTTATTTTTCCTAGTCCTTGCTTCTTCCACTCGTGGTCAGCTGTTAGTCAATTGTTTGTGGCCAAATATTTTATCTAAAAAAATGTGATTTTTCATTTTAGGACAAAAGGGCAGGACAGGAATAGAACGGTCAAAGCTGGGGTGTCTGATGGGGTCAAACACTTGCTGTCTATTAATTAATTCATCTGGCAAGCCACGTCCATGCTGCTTAATCAACCATTTTCACCATTAGGAAAAACACAGAAGCAAAGTATTCACACTTGTCTCCTTCTGGTCAAAGCTTTGGCTAAACCTTAAAACTTCTGTGAGTAGGTTTATGTAGCATTTTATTAGAGTCTGAAGTCAGCCTCCGGAATAGATATTCAATCGTATTGTGGAAAAAAGATGCTAAGAAAGAAAACCTTTGTAAAACAGCATAAAACAGACCCTGGTATTAGCTACTTTTAGCTTCAGATAACGTGCTTTGTATAGTGTTTTAATAAAGTTCTTGTGCCAAATCAGGTCCTCAGCCCTCGGTGATTTTTGGAATAATTTTTACCCTGAGTCTATGAAATGATAGCCTTAGAAATGTCACTGTAAATCTCAGAGCTCCCAGTGTGGCCAGTGACAGCTGATAAATGGAAATGGAAGAAAAGGAAGCAACACAAACACAAAGAAATTTGCAAGACTCCTGTGTACCTGCAGGAAGTTAATGGCAGCCCTGCTTTATTATTTAAAGTTACTTGCCTTGCAAACTGTAGATTTCTCCCACGCTGTTCTGACGAGTGATGTGGTGCCAGTATGCACTACGAGGAAGAGAGATTGATTTGGATAATGTCATCGGTTCAGTCAAGCTTGTCTGAAGCTAAAAGAAAAAGAGAATGTGTCTTAGGCTTTATTTAAAATACTACGCTGAAATCGGTTCTTCTAAAAGTTGAGGGTTAAATGTGGGTGGCATATGATAGAATCTGTAATAGATACTTGTATAATCTGCTGTTTAAGGACAACGTTTTTTAAAAAAGTAAAATCATGACTCAAAAACCTATGAAGTGAAAACTTGTAAACAATTTAATCTCACTCATTAATTAAGAAGGGAACAAAAAGATGGTTCACTGATTCCAAGGAGAATTCAGAGGGCTTACAGCCAACCAGGGATGCTGGTGAACAGCCAGAGCAATAATCAATTGTATTTCACCAGACAAGTTTATTTGCATTTCTATGAACAAGGATTATCTGCATTACTATTAGCTTCCTACAATTTATTGATTGTAAGATAATTCAAAAAATGGAGGTGTAAGCCTCTTCCCAAACAGATACCCCAGAATGGCGCCAAACACAGGATACTGTTTCTTTTTTCCCCATTTCAGTGTCTTATGATTTTTGCTGACACCTGCTCCCACCCTTACCCAATGGCTCCTTTCTCGAATAGATCTTTTTCCTTGCTCCTCTGACAGGATCTTGTACATATCAAAGAAGCGTTTTCCCTGAGAAGCTCTGAGATAAAAATGTGGCATATTTTCTTGTTTGAAACATAAATTTTAAGGTTAGCTACAGAGATCCCTACAATATCGAATCATGTGCTCAGGCATATGATTAGTTCAAAGAACAATACTTTATGTCGTGTTTTCCAGAAAGAAATTTATTTTTATTGATTCACACCAGGTTTTTAAAAAACATCCAGAAATGGTTTCATTTGGTCTTAGTGCACATTTCTCTGATGCAATCTGGGGAAACATTCACTTTCTGATGGATCACAGGCAATCCTCTAACTGATAAAATCTCACATTCCCCCTTGATGAGTACCTGACTCTTGGTAAAACTGAGAGCTGTAAAGACCCTCTCGTTCAAATGTAGCCTTGGGGACCTAAGGGTCTGCTCACTGTGGAGGTACCCTGTGCTCCGTCTGCCCCATTCTCCCCATCCTGTGGATCCAGTGTCACCACCCTTCACAGAAGATGCTGTCAGGAAAGCACCTGCTACGACACACGGGCTCTTTAAAGCCATATGAAACCAAAATGTTTTTACATTATAATTGAAGATGAAGCCAAAAGGCTTAAACATATTTACTTGATTTTTACTTTCTTAGTAGTGAGGCATTTCCGGAACTGCTATGTCTTGCCACAAAAGCGCTCAATTCAGTGTATTTAACAGTCTGGTCCTGTTGAAGTAGCTCTTTTTTTTTTTTTTTAAGGATGGCTCCAAACAGCAACTAGTTTTTATATTTTTCAAAATTTGCTATATTTCAAAGTTTTCCTCCTTATTATGAAAATAGGTTCTACTAACCACAGCCGTATCCGGTGGTTGGTAGGTAGGGGGTCGGGGAGCCAAATTTCTGGATTACAATAGGTTGCTGCTTTTCACACTCTTTGGGATGCTTTTTAACCATGCACATTTCCAGTTTTACCCCAGACCTAATAGTTGGAGATTCTCCGTGGGTGGGGCTATGCATGTTAAGAGGACACAAAACATCCTCACACACACTAACACCCATCACCCACTCCTGTAAGGGACAGAGGAAGGTTCATTTATGAAATTGTCACTGGGACAAATGGGCTTTCACCTTTAAAGGCAATTTTTCATGTGAGGTGTAAGCTTAATAAAACACATACATCTTTAGTTAGTGTCGGCAATGCCCATTAATAACATCAATTAATACATAAAATGAATCTCCTATTAATCACACTTCTGTCCACTCTTTATTCTTTTTTCTAATGTATTATAATTTGTGTATTACTTAGCATACGATAGAGATCGTCAGTGGTAAATTAATCTTCCCCAAATTTGATGAAAGTGCTTTCCTTCTTTTTATTATATTCTGGGAAACATGTTTCTTCCCAAATGGTCAGTCTTCAATATAACAGAAACACAGTAAACACATTTTGTTTACAGGAAACAAATCACTGGAAGCCACTTTAGAATAGTTTCCCCCATAAAACTTTCCTCTGAATCATCCCATGCTGTTTTTTCATCTCATTTCTTTATCTCTTGCTCTTCACAGTTTTCTAGTTCTAGGAGACCTTTCACGATATTCTATTTCTTCACTTGTTTCTTTGGTACCTCTTTATTCTACTTCAATATTTAATTGCAGAAAAATAGAAAATTTGTATTTGAAAAGTTGAATGTGGATATTCTCGGGATCTCGGCAAAGGTACAAATCTTGTCTGCTACATCCCAGATGTTGAAGCCTTCTCCTAGACATCAGAGAATCCCCTCCTCATTCGTCATTGAAAACTATGTATTCAGTGCAGCTATGGACCGAATCGCGTCCCCTCCAAATCCATGTTTGTGAAAAACTGACATAACTGGAGCCATTTTAAAACAGAGCTGGAGCAGCCATTCCAGAGGAACTGCCTTGCTCGCCTCGTTCCTTGAACCTTGAACGGGGCCAAATCTTCAGACTGGGCCAAAACGCAACTGTTTTATGAGTAACTCTTTGAGAAGTCAGCAGCAGAACGGACATGCTGACCACAAAAACTGATGATTATGGACTTTCTGAAGAGAGAATCAAGTCAATCAATGTTTACCCAAAATTAGTTCTCTGCCTCCAACTCCAATTAAAATTCTTTGTAATGTAAACCTCTGGATTCTTTGCTTTTAAAAGCCCCTGACTTTAATTCCTAGTGGTGCACTATTTGGGTTTCTACCTGAATCTGTGCTCCCCGAATTGCAATTCTTTGATCCCAGATAAACACCTGTCTGCCTTTCAATGCGGCTCTTTATTTTTAGGTTAACATGTCGAAGCCCTAACCCCTAATGGGACTGTATTTGGAGATAGGGCCTTCAAAGAGGTTAATTACAGAAAAATGATGTCATAAGGCTGAGGCCCTAATCCAATATGACTGCTTTCCTTATAAAAGAGAAAGAGACACCAGGAATGTGCCTGCACAGGAATGTGACGACACAGCGAGAAGGTGGCCATCTGCCTGCCAAGGAGAGAGGCCTCAGGAGAAACCAACCCTCCTGGCACCTTGATCTCAGACTTCTCAGCCTCCAGACCTGTGAGAAGACACACTGTCTGTTGTTTAAGGCACTCAGTCTGTGGTATTTTCTTGTGGCAGCCCTAGCAAACTAATGCAAGTATTTGTGCCACTGGCCACCTGTCAGATGATGTAGAATCCATCTGATTTATCCAGCAACTTTTAAAGTCTAAGCAATGTAGTATAAACTGGGCTTTTTGATGTGCAAAATAACAAAGACAATATGGCAGTATTTCAAGCCTTTTTACTAGAGAATTTTGTTAGTTTTAATTTTAAACTCCTGACAAAACTTCTCTTGGTAAGAGGGTTCAACAAAATGACATAAAAATCATCCATAAATTTTCATATTATAATAATGCGTCAATTAAAAGCATTAAGAAAAAAGTAGAGTTTAAAACGTTATAGTAATTTTGGAATTAAAAGAACAATGCATCAATTTGACCCAGAGGATTTTTAGGATCATAAGAGTGTGTATATCACAAAACATATAGGACAATTTATATGTATATTGCTAATAAATATCTATGTTTACTTATACAAAGAAGAAAATGATACCTTGAGATCATTTCTAAGCAATTACTATATTTTAAGAAATCAAACAAGATGGATCCATGTCCTCGAAGTTCTCTGTGAGGCTCTGCCCTGATGATTCTTTCAGTTGCCTCAGTCAGTGAGAAATTCCTCAAGAAACGGTACAAAATTCTGCAACCCACCCTGCCATAGCTCCCTCAATATGTAACCATGGACTCTTTTCTGCAGACAATAGTCAACCGTTTCTTTCGCACAGGGTCAGGATTCGGAAAGGATGCTTCAGCTTAGAGGCAGAAACCAACCTCATATGGAAGCAGCTGCCATAACTTTTTGCCATTTTTGGCTCTCTCTGTCAGTTTCATTTTTTTTGAAACAGCAGTCAATTCACTGGGATACCGAGCAATGAATCAAAAGTTGCTTATTTAGCATCTGGAAAGGGTAGAGGTCACAGCTCACCAGGTCTGGATAGTAGGTAAAACATTTGTATTCTATATGAAGGTTTCAGCTTCACATCTCACAAAGCCCACAGCCTAAAAGAAAGATTTTGGTCCAAAGTTTGTCACATGGAGATTCAGTAAATACCTTTATTTGAGCATCATTCAGATGGGAGTTATGCTGTCCTCCAGTGGATGAGAAAGAAAAACCAAAAGCAAAGAACCTTACATTTAGAAGACTTTCATAAAGATATAGACAAGGGTTGGCTGCTTCTGCTCACTCCTGTTTAGGCAATATATAAATAAACAAATTCACTTTTTATTTGTCAACATCTGAGATTAGTGTATGATATCACAGAGAGAGCCCAATATCATTTCCTGCTGCAATCCTCTTTCGTCCCCTCCCCTAAACTTCAGGAAACTCTTCTGAATATATTTGGCTGAAATAGTAGCTGTGAGGAAATAATTCTTCTGGGGTCACTCATGGCTCTGCATTTCTCATGACAAATTTTGTTACTTACTATCATTCCAAGTATGTTTGCACAGCAACCAGTCTTGGAAGGGAGAGTGTCTTTCTCCAGGACAGAGGGCAGATTTGTTTCCTGAGCAGGATAACACAGATAATGTCTTCTTCCAGGGCAAAGGTTGGGCAGGTTTGCTAGCAGCCTCTTTATAGGATTAGGAGTTTCTAAGTACAGATTTCTCAGCTGTGACAACATGCAGCATCTACCTGGCTGCTCCACATCACCCCATGGGACTTGGGGACCAGGGGAGCTGATGCGAACAAGGAACCCATGCTCCCTGCTGTGCCATGAGTAACAAAGTTCTTTTCTCTGACCCAGGAGTCTTGTGTTTTCTGCGGCATCCATGAAACTGTGGCAGGCCAGGGAGGTGGGGGTGGTGGCATCTCTCCAGCTTGTGCT